ATTTTTTCCAGTCTTTTCCGATGCCATACACTCGATCGATTGATTATCGCTCAACTTTGCCTGATTTCAAGCCGCTTTTGTCGGGAGACAAGCGTTTTCTTCTTCAGCATGGAGTAAGTCGAACGAATTGCGTGGATTGTCTGGATCGAACAAATGTCGCCCAGTTTGGCATAGGCTAGTTTCTTTATCCATTTGATCAGTTCTTTTCCTACTCTCTAGAATAGCCAGTTTCAGGTCGAGTAGCTTTGGCTTGTCAGTTATATGCCATGGGTGTTCTTGACAGCCCATGTTTGTCGCTGCAAAGCGAAGTGAGTGCGCTACTTTTGTCACGTTCTCTTTGTTTTGGTTACTTTTCATCATTAATCGACTTTCGATTGAGAAGGACTGAATTCAGGTTAACTTCCAAAAGTTAGTAGTTTTACTGAAACAAGACCAAGCTTGTTATCCATGTGGCTTTTTCCAGCTATGTGCTTTTCAGCTCTGTCGTGCCTTTGAAGACAAGTTTGATCATCATGGTGATACACTGGCGTGGCAATATGCTGGCAGTCAGCTTGTACATTCAATAAAGACCTATAAAAAGATTTCTGCATTCCAGGTGTGCTGCTAAGGTTTCTTTTTTCCCTTTTCGAAAGGCACGTGCGGCGCAATCTTTGAAGATTCTCTACTGCACAGTCGTGGTCAATGGTTTGATCTTGCGCTTAAGATTCACCAAGCCTCCCATCCCTCTGCGGTCGGCGAGAAGTACCAGACTTGTTTGTGTGAGAGGATAGTAGCAGTGACTTGGTACATCGATAAGCCACAGCGCGCCATTGTAAAGGCCAGATATCCATCAAATTACCTCTAACGATGTTTGATGAAGGAATGGATGGTTCGTATCTCAGGGACTGATCAACACCACGAGCTTTATCCTTTTATTTTTATGTTTTTGAGTATAATAATAGTGCGGCGGCCTCAGTGGTGTGTAGGTAGCATGCACTATCGGGTGTAAGTATAAGGCGAGTTTATCTTCCGTCTAAGGTTCAGAGTTTTGCATATCACTGAACATCCTTAAATATATACCCTGGATATTTTTTATATTTCAGGAGCGCAGTAGAGACGTTATTCAGACTTTATCTCGTTATTACAGCAACACTTTCGGTGATTATGACAAACAAGCAGCAATCAACCTATTTTTGGGGGTTTTCAAGTAGGCCCTAATGATCACTTAGTTTTTTTGTGCAGTTACTTTTTAGTGATGGTTGGGTACCAAGCTGCTTTATTGCTTCTTTTACAATTTGTTCATATTAGTTTTTATATCGCATTAGTTTCTGGGCACTTCTCCGTTATCCACACCTCGTTTCAGCTTTTCTTGAAAATGCTTTTTTTGCCCTTTTCCAAAACTTCGGTAGTCACTCAAAAGTTTGAATCTTGAAAATTTCAATGATGTACATCGTTTTTGAAATGGTCTTCATACTGCGCTGTGACAGTAAAAATAAAAAGATATTTCACATACAGCTATATTCCGCTAAATGGGGCTTTTCTCTTAGATCTTTAGTGATCATTCGATAGCTTAAATTTCGACGATTTTCGTGGTATATCTGGTTTTTTGAGCAGAGCTTCGTAATATGGTGTAGCACTCAAAAGAAATTGGGTTTCGCACTCGGTGCGCATTCTTTGCTCAGATTTGTAGAGGGGATTTTGCAACATTAACACCAAGCCATTGCGAACTTGTAACAGTGCTTATTTGATAGCATAAATTTTGATGATTTTGAAGCTAATTGGGCGTTCTTTTAACTTTGTTCTTTTGTAATGTGGGCTCAAACTTTTCATTTTTTTTGTACATTGCTAAATAAAACTGCTAATAAGCCTAAACCTAAGCAGCTTATCTATGCACGAAAAACGTATGAACGTGTAGGGGAGATTTAGAGTAGTAGAGTAGTATGTTTCATCCAGAGTTTTTCAGAGCGGGAAAAGAATCTAAATTTAGTAACCGAAATCTCGCATCAAATGTAAATCACGATGCGCGATGAATTCGCATCCAGTCTGGAACTTATTTTCTTTTGGCTGCTACTGCGCACCAAGAAATTCTTTTTCGAAATAAAGTACACCATTGAAATCGCCCAGATTTAAACTACCGAATGATTGCTGAAAGTATAACAGAAAGGCTTTATCCAGCGAAGAAGACCCGGGCGTGCCACATAATTTTATTTTCTGTCACAGCGCAGTCAGAAGACTCCCCAAAAATAAAATACACCATTAACATCCTCGAGATTTGAGAAATCGATTGACTGCTTAACTTTTGAAAAAGTAAAAAACACGTTTTCCTCAAGAGGCTAAAGCAGGTCGAGGTAGCGGAAAAGTACCAACTCTTGCCTCTATCCGGTTTCTCTAAACGATGTATTTTTTACGGCTAAAGTTTATTCTAGTTCGAAAAAGTAATTTAAGTATGAATGAAGTAATTGAGTTATATTCGTAAAGGCTGATCAAAAGGGTTGTTATGATTTAGACCTCAAATCAGCAGTAATCAGGCTTTGTGGGATCTGACCACTGACTACTACCTGCACTTTCCAACGCATAGTCGGGTAAGGTTTCAGCTAGTTTCCATGGAATAACTGGTGATATTGGTTTGTAATACATTGTCTATAATGTGGACCATGAAGGTTAACACCGACTATTGTGCGTGGATGTACGAGGAAGAGGATATTAAGAAAATGATCTCAAAAGAATTTGGTCAGGATGAAGCACAAGAAGAGCAACCTAATGAAGAAAAAATCCGTAAGATAATTGGCTTCTGTTGAAAACGTTTATAAGACTTAATTTAACTTTTCATAAATATTTCTAGAAGGGAACAACGCTCTTTTACATCGAGTTCCTCTTCAACTATCGTCACTCGATGACTTTCATGATTTCTATCGAGTTTTTGAAATGACGACTCTTGAGTATCGGGTGAAAACGCAGGTCAATATAACAGTTTGTTCTGCGTTTCTATGTTTATCAAGTAGGAGTGGTAAAGCCACGACAAAACGGAACTCCGGTAGTGCAGTTGTTAGCATTCGCTTTTGGGTAAGGTGAGACGCTGGATCGACTCACGCCCGAGTTTCAAAGTCTTGCATATCATTCAACATCATATCCAATGGATATATGAAGATATCACTTACTTTGTTTTAGATCATCGTCGACTCTCAGGGACTTAATCTCCATGGTATCAATCAAGAAGGACTAGCCAGTGGCCAATTTATCAGATCTATGGAAAAGCTGTGGAAAAATGTATCCGGCAACTACTCTATTTGAAAACTTGTTTTCAGTCTCGATGCCCCTTACTTTTCTTCCCTGAAATCAGGAATCGAAAGAGAAAACAAAGAAGACTGGACGAGGCGGTGAATCTGATGATGAGGACGATGACACTTTGGAGGAGGAACAAATCGAGGATGAGGTTGTTCAGTACGAACCAGCCTGGATTCGTTTAGTCAACGGAAATATTTCCGATAGACCATGTCAACAAATGAATACCCGTTCGAGAAGAGAATTGAATGGTAAGCATTGGAATCTATCATCTCTTAAATTGACTACTAATCTTGAAGAATTTCCAGAGCATCCAGGTCTCGCATCGGGATTACTTTCTGCGAAGGAAGCATATGGTATAAGGAGTCTAAATCCATCTGACAACGCACTTTCTTTCTATGAGAGCTATGTGAAATTTGGCGGTTATAAATTCAATACAGAGGTAAGAATGCATAATTGAAATATAATGGATAAAAATGGATGTCCAGAATTATTTCTACCAGGATTGGATTGAACACAAACCGACTCTCTTGACAGATTTGAATATACCGTCGATACAATTCCGCCCGACAATATTCACTACAGATGATGTTTTTAAGGTGAAATTAAGTTGACTCTTTGAGGATCTTGAAAATCATTTATGCCGAAATCATAAGAGAATTTACAGACTACTATGCCCGAAGTATCGAAATCGTCATTGAAATTCTACGAGAAAAGCTTTATCACCATCGACGATTACTTTGCCAAAGCAGACACTGCAGCATTCTCTGCTTATCCTTCAGTATTTTAGCCAGCCTTTGACTAATATGGTTTTTAATTGTAAAATTAGATGTGATATTACGTCTTGCTACGTATTTTTCACTTCTGAACTCTCTTTTTGCATAATTCCGCAATGATTTTCCTTAGTAAGCCAAACGCGAGGTTGTTATAACGTAGCTCATTCGGGCAGCTGACCTTTCGGCGATTTCGCCTTCTTCAGGGCCGGGGAAGATCAGGTCGTCCGCAAACCAGTTAACCAAAGACCCCCATTACTTCAAAAAATAGAAATTACACACCTTCTCTGAAAAGTCTTCCGTTGTTGATTATTCGTAAAAATTCTCTATCAAGAATCGTTGCAGTGGGCTGTATTTTGGTAAGCAGTGTCTTTTTGTAACGCTCTTTTTAAGAGTAGTTTGATTGAAAATGTTGTAAATTTGAAAATCAGGTTCAGGTACTATACAGTACAAAATACTGTAAAAAATTTCATGTGTTACTGCAACCTTGAGTATCACGGTATTACTTTCTTTGTCTGTAAAAATACTACTTTTTATGTAGGTTGATTGCAACAGAACAACGCAAGAATGAAGAAGAAATTAAATGTATCAAAACTTCAGATGGTCATCGTCGATGTTGACTCTCTCACATCTTGATTTTCTGTTGCTCTGAAAAATGAAAGATTCTTTACGTTGTTGAAAAACCAGCTAATTCTTTGAAATACCTCCTTCGATTTGGAGTTCGACAAAGCATCCAGCGGAGCACAGCTTGAAGTTGGAGAAAATGATGAATTAGTGGAAGTGGTTGTCGAACTCTGCTTATTAATAAGCTTTATTGAAAGATCACTATGTTCCAGATCAAAACTGGATGAAATTGCAGTTTATCAGATAACAATACTGGTAATTTCAAATAAAAACCTTTTTCTAGGAACGCACTCACAGCTGCTAATTTCAATAATTTTGATTGATATGACGTTGAACGTTGAATGCCTTTGGGATGGGAGTTGAACCCGCGTTTCACCCTTTCCGAGGGTGCGTGTTTTACCTCTGCACTACCGAAACTCTTTAGCTACTATTACTCTTTTTTTTACATTAATATTGGTATATTCTAGTTCTTTTTTATAAGTGTCGTTAAATGCTATGGGAGTCGATTCTTCTTTGAATCCCCGGACAGCCGTTCGCAGGTGGATTAGAGCGGAGAGAGTTGACCTCAGACAAGTCTGGTCCAATTTCCTGACTATGAGAAGACGAGAGGTCTGATGGTACAGGTGAGGCGACTGAACCAGAAAGTCGCTTGCAAAGAATGGCATCGCTACTGTGTTCGTCTTGGCATTGAATTTAAAGGGAAGAGTGTGTGTTCTGGCATGAAGTGAACATAACTCATAGTCATGTCTTTATAATTGTGTAAGTGAGCGATAAGAAGAGCAGAGAGATCTTATATCAAATCACGCTGCGAAAAGAATTTGAGTGAATAAAATATTCTATCGTCATTGCACTTTGGGTTTGTGTGTCCCACTATTTCGATGCATAGGATTCTCTCTCTCTTTCTTTGTGAAACACCGTGCATTATATCATTTTGGGTCATAACTATTCATATCTGAACTATCAAGTCAAATCTCTTTGATACACTTTGTTTCGTTGATAGACCTCTGAGTCTCATCAAGTTTGTGACTTATTGAGCGAGCAGGCGAAGCCGCTTCCTGGCAACTGACATTTTCACTCTGAAGTCCTCCGAGTCGTTTTTTATCAGTTTATTAAGTAACGTTGTGTGCTAGCACTCTTCTCGTTCTCAGCATGTAATGTGAGAAGACAGGAAACGACTGTTAGAGGAGAACCTATTAGCGTTAGATTTTCGTTCACATTATGAAAACGCGTTAGACGTGTTCCGGTGAGTAGAATTACATGATATACAAAAATGGGTAATTTTTACTATGATAACCTATTTTTTGAAAAATGATTAGAAAATTAGATTATTTGTGATTATGAGGGGACAATTGAAAAGCCGACTTCATTCGTTGCAGAAGAAATTTTCATAGGAGTATTAGTAAACATTCGAAAGCTGAGATTTTATGCTACATCCCCACGTCTCCGGTATTCTGAAAAGCTTTTTTGACCTTGCTATAGAAGCAATTTTCTTGCGTTGCAGACGTGCATAATTATCGCCGGGCATAACTCTATCTGAACTGGTTAATGATCATTCGATAGCGTAATCGTTTCTGATTCCAATGTTGTGCTTATATCCCGAAAAGACCGTTTCTCTGAAGCGCAGCGAATAAAAAAAAAGTTGAAGTCTCACTTGCGATCGTGAGGGTCTTGGGCCAATTCACGTGCGGCTGGATGAATCAGCTACCTCCTCTGGCGCGATGTTATATGCTCGGTGCAAGGTCTATCGACCAACGCACCAGCGCACGTGGCTGCCTCAGCCGGCCGCACGTGAACTGGCCAAAGACCTCCCTGTTCGCAGATGGAAATTGAAATAATTTTACCTGTTGCGTTTCATAGAAACGATCTTATTTAAATATAAGCACAGCGTTGGAATCAAACGATTACGCAGTCGAATGATTATCAGTAGTACATAGAAAGAGCTCTGTACGGCGAGAAATATGCGCGTCTGAGACATAGTTTTGTGTGGATTTTACAACGTTATAAAAAGGTATTTTCGAAAACCGGCGACATAGGGCTGTAGCCAGAAATCTAGGCTTCCAATGATTACTAACACTACTGTGAAAACTTCTTCTCCAGCGAATGAGATAGGCTTTTATCAGTTCCTCATAATCAGAAAGAACTGAGAATTACCTTGTTCGTGGGCACTGTTGTTCCACTGATTTCGCTACAATTCCCCTTCTGCCAATGGCACTGGAATTCTTTCGAGGCTCCGTTGTAAGGTCGGTAGAGCTGCTCGGGATGTACAAATGTGATCTCTTAAATGTAGTAAATCGCTTCATTTTGTTTTGTGTTCGATTTTTTCTTGTTTTCTTCTCAAGTGAACCGATAAAAAATTTACGATGGGAAGTGTTCTTGCTGCAGTTACTGTGCTATCGTATTTGGTCATAATCAATTCAATTCTATACCATAACAACAGGATTATCACTTCACAGATGGGATTGTTCTTCTAGTCTATGGAAGCAAATTGTATCCACAATATACAAAGAACTCTTCAAAGGTTGGTTGCTGACAGCTTCAATGCATTTATATGGAAAAAAGGAGTGGTAGGCAGAGTGATGGCCTCAGTGGTATAGTGGTTGAAGCGCCCCGGTATGAGTGAAACGTGGTTCCGATTCCCGTTTGGGGTCGGATGTTTAACTGTTTTGCATATCACCCAGCATCTTTCGATATCCACAATGTTGCACGTCCACTTGGCGATACTCGCATGAAGGTTATTCTACAAAAAGGGGAAGTATTGAAGTACTATTTTTGCTTCGTGGCTCGGAATTTTGAAGTTTATTGCTCTAAGCCGATGTGATCGTTGCAGCTTGGAAAGAACCAGTTGCAGTCCCGTGTTTTCGGTGTATGCTGATTCCAAAATGATAATCTCAGATTTTGTACCCTGTGCATTTTTTGCACCATGTTTTTAGAACTATCGAAAAATTAAAAGCCTCAAAAAATGAGGGTTTATTTACTTCAGTTATCGGGTAATTTTTTGGATCTATCTTATTTTACACGATCTATCATGTACTGTGCCGGGTCTCAGTACTTTTTGCATCCAACTCATTTCCTCACATTCATTCTCCACAAATCTTAGAGTATGTAACGTGTCTAACGTAAATCGCCTGCTACTCGAGGATTTTATCCTTTATATAAACGTCATAGAATGCAGTCGAGACAAGTTTTTGCAGCCTCAAAGCTGATCGAGCTAAAGTGCTCGTTGGATGAGGAGAAAAGGCTTGGGCACGAGATCAAAACAGTGTTTCTCTCAATACCGTCTTTTTAATAGGTTGTATCACTAATTACTTTGCGTCGGATAACTGAAATTCAGACTATCGTGATAGAAGCGCTCTAAAGTTTTCAAGTTTTAGTGTCTCTTCAAGATTTCAATCCTATCTTTCGAGAAATGGAAAATCTATGGTTTGGGAGACAACAGGGCATGAATTGCTATGCTAGGTGGGTTATTATGAAATTAGCACCAATGTATAGTGGTAGGGTAGGAGCAGACTGACCACCATGAATCATATAAGATTCTCTTCTAATCGGATCATTTATTCTGCAGAACAGAATTTTCTTGATGTCTTTGATACTTGTCCGTTATGAGGCGACAAATGAAAAAAACGATCGCATTTGCGCTGATTTTTGCACTTTACATTTTATTAAACTGCTCTATCATACGAAATTTTGTAGAGCGTATGTGGTGCAGTGGTTAGAGGTGCCCTGCGATGCAGACGCAGCGATAGTTCGAACCCGCAGCGAAGGTCTTGTCAGACTTGTCTGAGAGGATAGTAGCACTGACGTGATGCATCGCTAGGCCACTGCAAGTCACTTTGAAGCCAGATATGCATCCACTCACCTTTAACGAATGCTTGATGAAGTTGAATGCTTGACAATCCCTTAGGGATTGATCGATGTCGAGAGCGCTATCCCGATTGGCCTTATCATACGAGATTGTTCATCGCGTTGCATAGACTGTTCTTGGCGAACAGGATACAAAGATGGTGAGAGTATCACAAACAGTGTAAGTACTCGGACGTTTTGGGGTGATCATTTGTCTTTTGCATCGATAGGATGTATCAGGGAGTTTTGCTATGAATAAGTCAGTTTATTTGAGTCAGTTAAAATTTAGATCAACAAAGAACTTCAAAAATTAGGCTTCGGGTGTTTTGTGTTTATCTCGCTCCTTTCCAGTAATTTTACAGAACTTACGCAATTTCCAAGTGTTGTCAGGAAAGCCCGTAGATCTGTGACGAGCTTCTCCAGGTCTATTTTCTCCTCTGCGGCGACATCATCCGAAGACAGTCTCGCATTTATGGCACTAATTGCGTGCTAAAGAGAAGGAGTTATCTAAACGTGATATAACATAATCTACGTTTGCAATTGACTCTCATCGAATAGAGCAAGTCGGACAGAAACAGCAATCACTCATATTCATGAAGAGGAATGATGTCTATATATGGAAAATGAGACAAATTCTAGCTTGACAGTTGTTGTTCAGAATTCATGGATCACATTATTTAGGAAAACGTCTTACATCTATCCCTTTACAGAAGCCATTGTCAATGTTTGCTAACATTCTTCGCTGACGGTTTTCCACCTGGTTCAGCTAAATAGTGAGTTTCGCCAACCTATATAGAAAAATTCAAATGCTGAATGAAATTGCTACTCGCTCCGCCGCTACATTCAGAATCCTTCTGTCTTCGACTGCTCTCTTGTGCGTCTGAGCAGCTTGTCCGTTAAGAAGAATCAGTTCAGCGATCTATTAGAGGTGGAAATGATCATCAAATTCAAGCACTATCAAATTTTTCTCGAGCGAGTAAACCCTTCAAAACAAATCCCACCTTGTCTTTCAATATATCCACTTTTTCATAAAACGATTCGTCTGTTTCATTGTTTATTCCGATCCTATAAGAATGAAAAATTCAGTCAGCAAATTGATGTTGGAGAAAGGTATGGTGTATTGAACCTTATCGGGTCACTGACAGCAACCTTGGCCATTTTGATGTTCTCATCGTCGTCCTTTTTTCTCGTAGTCTGTTTCCACATCTCGCTGAGGTAAGCGATGCGGTTATCAATCTAAAAATGTCAGGCTGATTAGAGTATCTTCTTCACATTCATGAACAAAAATTACTTCCATAGTTCTACCGCATCGTAACGGCTAGGTCGAATCACTTATAACCACCACACAAAATCTAACCGTTTTCTCTTAAGTTAAATATACTCCTAATTTTTGGGCCAACTCAGTTCGGACTGTTTTTTGTTCACTCAGTGATGTTGAGTAATTGCGGATTTGAAGAATAAAAGTGTAAAACTTTTGCGTTAAAGGGACTCAAACCCGAATTCATCCTATCAAGAGTCGCGTGCTCTCACCCGCTGGAACCCTTAGATTTAGTCAAATAAAAAAAAATCTAATCATT